CCACCAAAAGAGACCAAATGGTTCACCAAAACAGGGAATGAAAGCAGGCACAGGTTTGCCTAAAATATGCATATGCTAATTGGGATGCATAGATGCAAATCTGGAAATCAGTATGAGAAGTTCAAGAGAAAGGCAGCATGTCCCACCCCAGAAGGAAAGGCCATGGGCAGGTGCTGTGCGTGGAGGGCCTGCTTCATCTGCTGTCCAGGTCCTAACCATGGATGGGCAAGATCAAGGTCCCACCACTCCCCACAGTTGGATGGACAAACCTTCAAACAGAGGGCCATCCTCTGTAAAATAAGAGATCTGGCCATCCTATCCCAGGAGTATAGGAGCCAAGAACAGCAAGGAACTGGCCCTGTTCATTTCTTACAACGCCCCAAATAACCCAAGTTGGTGGGAAATCGAGCTGTGGGCTTAGAAACCAAGCTGTGCCGTGTGTCAGCATGGGTGGACCCACAGCTGCTTCCCCCTAGGAAGGCAGGTGCTGCTGGCAGGGCTGCATCTGGCAGGAGACACAGGTAACAACTCAGCGTGGCCAGCGTGGCCTAGTGGGTAAAGTGCTGGGCTGGGGCTCAGGAGAAGCAGGTGTTAGTCCCCTCTCAGTCATGAAGCTCATTCGGTGACCTTGGCCCAGTAACTGCCTCTCAGCCTAGTCTACCTCACAGGGTTGTTGCTGTAAGGATAAATGAAAGGAGGAGGGCTTGGAAGCTGTCTGGGGTCCCTTGCAGGAGAAGAAAAGCGGGGTATAAATGTAATGCAATAATAGTAGTAGCGACTGATCTTTTGCTGGCAGTTGTACAACATAATGTGTCCTTCCACTTTTAGGACAAGGTTATCAACCAACTTTTCAGCATGTGTACTTCTCTGCATTAACCAAGACTGAATTCTGCTGGGGTGGGATGCTGAAAAGAGATTTCTTTGAAGGTTCCATCACATACCAAAGAAGCAAACCACATTTCAGGCTAAATGTTAACCTTTAAAACAGCCTTCCCTTGAACCTGCAGATTTCTCCAAAACAATTAAGCTAGAGTGAGACAAGATCCTTCCTGAGCCTGGCACCCGCCCCCTGCTCCCCAAAATGTTAAGAACCACAACTCCTAGTTTTCCTAAGCATTGGCCAAGACATCTGGAGGGGACCATGCTGGGGAAAGCTGGTTCACATATCTCATTGTGTTTATTCACCAGCAGAATCAGCCCTGGATTGTCGTTCATTCGACAAAGAGAGCTCTCCTCTTTGACACACTGCACTTTATATGCATGCTTGCAACCTGGCAGATTCTTCCTGTTCCTCTAGAGAGCAGCATGCTCATTTCACGATTTGGAATCATGATCACAGTATTAGCATGGAGTGGAATAGTAGGCCTCAAATTACTTGCTCAAACAGGCAAGGAATTGGGAAGAAATGGATGAGAAGTAAAACATTCCAGGGTATGGACTCCACTAGGAAAAAAACAAATATTGAGCTTTCAGAACAAATTCAGTTCCAGATATATGATTCTAAAATTGTAGAAATACCAGCAACCAAGGGCCAATTAACAGAACCAAGTTAATTGCCATGGCATGGCCCTGGTGGCTCCCCATTGCATCATTCCCTGACCATAATAAATTTTATATCACCCCGAGGTTTCCCCATTTTAGCAGGAATTGTCTGGCATGACCATTTAGGAGAAATCCTTTTCAGAGAAGTTAAAGTTTTTTCTACCCATTTTCAACATATGGATGGTAATTGACTGGCTATAGGTGCATATCAGAAATTTTAATTTGGCTTGGTGTGCAATTTTAAATTGATTAAACACTGTACATAAATGTTCTGCCACTGCACAAAGCATTCAGACTCAGATGCTTGCAATGACTTCCCCACCACTCCAATCTGAGCTTCCTTCTGGGTTCTGAGAATTCAGCAGATTGCAACCTGCATTTTAAAAGCTTATCTTCCAGCCGTAAGGTCCAGAAACTTGTTTTTTTAATAACCCCTGCAGACCAAATGATGACATCCTTGGAGTAACAAATTTTGCCTCAGAAACCGACAGGTGTGCACAGAAATGTCATTATAGTAATTTTGATGGACAGGAGCTCCTCTTCAGGTACTACCCAGAATCCTGTCACCAGCTGTGTGGATCTACACTAACAAACCAGTTCTTGCATTTTTCAGCTCTATTTCTGAAAGCAATTGTGCATTTGAGGCCAATGCTTCTCTACGCACGGTGTTAGTTGTGCTCTCATGGTCCTTTGCTCACACAAAGTTGTGGGGGGTTTTCATGCCATCCTGAATCCCTTAGCTGCTTCTCCTGCATTGTTCTGTGTGGGGAAAACCCAGCATTATTGCTACGATTGCTTTGTACTTGGCATCAGCCTCCAGGATGGTTCCTCCACTAGGGAATGGTCTGCCAAGCCTTGGGAGGGGCCTGTTGGTCCTTGGGAAATCCTCAACCTGCAGGACATTTGGGAGGAAGCAAGCAGGGAAGGAACTGGATAAGAGATAGAGCACAAGGCTATTTAAGGGGCTTCAGCATCTGGGAGATCATTCAGTCCTTTTCCTGCTTCTCTGCTGCCCCCACCCAGAGTTTCTCTTTCCCCGCCTCTGAAAAGTAAAGTTTGTGCGTCTTTTCTGCCTGGTGGCCTCGTTTGACCTCTTGCTCTAAGAACAACTGCTGAGCTGCATGTTCGCTCTGAGGTCAGTCCGAGACTCTTCAGTGTCCTCCCAAGTCAATCACACTGACTGCGTTCACACATAGTGACAAACAACCCTACCTGGTACATCAGCTCACACATTTTTGCCCGGACTAACTGGTTGGACAGCTGCGTGGTTTCCCCAGAAATGCAGTTTCGGGATCCCTGCCCCATCCTCTTGTTCTTGCCATGCATCCCAAGTGGACCCATGCGCAACCCCCCTTCCGTTCCCCATTGTTCCCAACAGATCTCAACCGTCTCTTCCTGACTGGTCTGCTGAGGTTTTGAAGGGGGTTTTCCCCCTTCTCCCTCCCAAATGTACCTCCATTTCTGTAACACTTCCTAGCCATCACAGCCCGCAAAGTGTTTTAATTAAATCAAAATAAATCCTCTTGACATGATTCTCCCGCTTCTCCCACCGTGCAATCATCTGCTCCTTCCTAGTTTCAGAGAGTAAACACGGTGATGGGGACATTATTTAACCAATACGAACAAAATGAGCGAGGACATGCATTGCCAGGGTGCCGTGGGTTGTAGAGGTTGGATGGCTGGAGTGGCTCCTTTCCATTGCCACTCTTTCCACAGGACTCTATGGTGTTCCTTCACCGCCAATGGTAAAATGGAGCTCCCAGGTCTAGGCATCTTGCAGTGGAGCATGAAAGCCTTACAATGGACTGTTGTGTCTCTTCATGATTTTGGAAACCAAACATACAGCACTGAAATGCCACAAAAGGACCATCAGCAGCCAGCAAAGATAAGAAAGCACCATGGCTTCTCATGAGGTGCAAACATGGTTGTGGCCATGGGTGGTGGTGAGGGGATCTGCAGGCGAGACGGCTGTACTGGCTTGCCTTTGGGTGGAAGGATTGCTAGCAGAGGCAAATGATGCAGCCCACATGCTAATCCCACACTGCCAATACAGGTCGGAACGTGCAGCTGAGAAATGAGCAGGGAAGGTGGCGAGGAAAGCGGTTGAGCCTTCCCTGATACCTGGTGGGTGACTTCCCTCCAAGAAGAACCCGCACAGGGCCTCTATGCACATGTTGTGGGGTAAAGGGCCGTTTGCACAGCTCAGCCATGGCCTTTGGGTTACAGGCAGGAGGGCCAAGGGCACAGGCAGCGCAACTGTGGACGGTGATTTTCCTGCCAGCGTAAACTGAAGTTGTGCTTTCCCGGCAATGCATTGTGAAGCCCACCCATGTGCGAAAGCTTGTAAAGCACTTTACAGTGTTATGCAGGAGAGGGAAACACATGATTCAGAGAGCCCCACTGAGGATGCAGAAAAACAACACCGTGGGATGGCGCTGGAATAAAACCCTCATGCAGAGAAGCCCCAAACCACACAGAACCCTTTGCATTGCAACAGGGAGCAACATATGGCAGGGGGGGAATTGCATTCTCCCTCCATCACCTGCCCCCGTTACTGGGAGGACTGCAGCCACGCTCAGAGCAGACTGGGAGTTCTGGGGCAGGAGAGAGGCAGGCGGCCTCAGGGTCCCTGCTCATCCAAAGGGCCTCTGCGCCCTGGTTCTGCTACCTCACCGGCATGCACAGGATGCCCAGAGCTATTAGCCGTTTCCAGCTATTCTCTCCTCCAAACGCCACAACCAGCATTCGCCCCTCCAAAGACTACAAGGGCCAGAGCCTTGTCCTTCCCTGGGTGCCCACTGGCCTGTGCTGGCGACAGGTGTGGGGTGGGCACTTCCTCTACACACAGAGGTGGTTCCTCATGCAGTTCTCCATTGCACTTGGAGACGCTTGCAAGCTGCACTGCTTAATTCACCAACGTGGCCCATGTTTCCGCAGTCGAAGAGTGAACGGTTTCTCAGCCTTTTGCATTTTCTTCCAGCTTCTCTTCCAAGCTTGGATTGGCAGCCAGGCACATTCTCAGCACTGCTTCTCTTTCTGCCATCTATTCAGCACCCTCTCGGCAAAATTCTCAGGCTCGTCTGTCGGAATGTTGCTACAGTCATATAGTGGCTCCTTTTTCCCACCCTCCTTGCAGAGGTCAGACACCACACAACTCATGTAATCCCCTTCCCACGGGGGGGTCCCTGTGTCGACTGAACCCAGCGAGGTGCATGGCAGGAGCATAGTCTTACAACCACCCCAGAACCCAACATCAAGCGATAGATTCTAGGGTGGTTTTGAAGCTAACCCTCCACACACTTCCCTGTGTTCAGACAATGCAGGAAGTTGCCCCACCAAAAGAGTAATTAGGCAAATTGTGCTGTTTGCAACCCACTTCCACACAGTGTGGGGGGAAAGCCTCCTGGTTTGGTACCTCCATAGAATTGTACCCTTAATTAACCAGTAAAGTTTCATGCTATTGCTGTATATTTTGTTTTTATTCTTGTCAAGTCTGATGTAATCCTTAGGATGAGAACATACTGGAATCATACTATTTTATTAAATTATTAAGCAAAAGTACATTAGTAATGTATTAAAAAGACTTTTAGAGGAAAGAATGGTATTCAGATATATAAATGATACAAGATCCAAAAATTTCAAACTTATGACTGTCAAGACGTATCTGAAATGAATTCATGTCACTATATCTCTTGTAGACACATTTTAATGTTTAATGAGTTATGAAGAGTGGTTTTGAGAAGATGTGAGACACCTTTTTTAAATCTACTGCCATGCAGTTAGTTTTAAACTGGTCAAAAGGTGTAAATTTTTTAAAAATACACCTACACAAAGTGCCTAAAATAGCATTCCACCAGTTACTTTGTCACAGGGAAACTCAACCAACTTGAGTCCTGAAATTTCAACAGATCTCAACATTTTTTCAAGGTTGTCTTGAAAGCATAGAGTCTAGCCACTCTCATATTGCTAACCAGAGTTTGCTTCATTTTATTTTATTTTATTTTATTTTATTTTATTTTATTTTATTGCACAGAATGACCACAGCCATTCTCACTGCCAACTCTCAATTGCGGACATTCACTATTGATAAATTGGAGAGAACAGAAGTTTGAAGAAAGCAACATGGCTGACACGCAATGGCTTCTTGCATGATTTAGGGCCCTCGTTGGGCCGGGTCACCTACCTAGCTGTGTGTAGCAGGCTCCCATCTCCAGGCCATTCCTTCCAAATTGCATCAGTAAATAACCCCTGATAAGGGCTTTAATAAACCTGCCTTTCCTGTGTTATGTGTAGAATAAACTTCTCCAGAGGTGAAGTACATAATCTAGATTAGTAAATTGAAAAGCCTATTTAGTTACTTCAGTAGAAAGATATTATTCAAGAAATTGCTCTCGCCATTTGTCCATTTCCAATGCATGGGCTTTTCCAGCACCCCTTGATTCACTGTGGCTTCCCTAACCTCACAGCCATCCAAACATTTGGCCTAGTCATCAGCCATGGAAGAAGTCCCAGGGCTGAACACATTTTCATCTGCCCTGTCATTCTGGTGCAGGCCAAGACCACATTTCTCATCAAGCTCAAACCTTTCGAAAAGGAGCTTCTTTCTCTGATTTCTGTTCCTGTTGGTATGGAAGGCAAAGACCAGGTCTATGAGGCTCAGAAGAAGGAAGAAGCCACGGAATATCCACATGGAAACCAACATGATGAACTTTTCAGCAGGCCTGGAGATGAAGCAATCAACAGCAAATGGGCAAGGGAACTCCCGACATACATAAACTTTTGGAACAAAGAATCCAAATATATAATAATCGGCAACTACAAAGCCAACCTCTATCAACAATCTTAGAAGAAGCTGAATGGCATAGGCCCTTGAAAAATCAGGAATAGCCATTCCATTTGGCCCATGGCCAATTCTCCTTCTTGATGCATCTTCAGGGGATTTCTTTGTAACTTTCTGGCCTAAAAATGGATTGATCTCTTTGTACTGATGATCAGGCAAGAAATATGCTTTCACAACCTGCCTGACCACATTGTGCATGACGTAAGCACTAAACACAGCATAAGGGAGTAGGACTGACATGGTCTCAATGACCCAGAATCGAGAGTGGGACACTGGAGCAAAATGGTCATAGCATATGTTTCTACAATGTTGTTCAGAAGTACTGCAGAAGAAGTTAAATTGCTCGTCTTGGTAGACAGGGTACGCCACAAGAAGTATCACTATCAGTCTCAGCAGGATCACATGAGTTATCCAGATCTTCCCTAGAAAGGAAGAACAAAGGTAGAGACATCATCAATAAGAGGAGTCTTACCTTGGACATTTTGCCATAAAACTCTTAGAGTACACCAAATCATTTCAGATCGGTCTGTGATTTATAAATAATAGCAAAGCTATAATTTCACTGTGTGGATCCTGAGAAAGTATGGATGGTCCTGAAAGAAATGCATTTGCCTCAGTACTTGATCATCCCGATGCATAACTTGTATCATAGACAAGGGTCTACCATTAGGACAGATTATGGAGAAACAGAATGGTTTCCTTGTGTCAAGGGTATCCAACAAGGCTGCATTTATATCCCTACAGATGATACCGTATTACTAGCAGAAAGCAGCAAAGAATTGAAATGACTCCTGTTAAATTCCCCAGGTCGACTATCCTTAAAGGCATGAATGCACCAAATACATCAACACAGCATAGAATAGCAGTAAAGTCTGCAACACACAATGCTCCAGAGTCCATGGGCTTATGGCAGGGATTGGGGGCTGAGGGCTGTACAGTAATAGTTTTGGACAGCTACTTGTTTGGATCTAAACAGACTAGTTATATCACTATTCTTTGTATTGTACTTTCCCCCAGTGTGTTGTAATATAGTCCTCAATATATTGATGGCATGTGCTAAACTTGCGGTACTGGTCCAGGGCCAGGAGGAGTGGCCTCATTGGGCAGGTGGGAAAGAGGGAGTGTCAGGGCCATCTTAATGCATGGGCCTGATGGACACTTGCCACGGGCCCCATACTAATCTGTGTATGGTAACCCTTGGAAAATTAGAAAACTTCCAAAATTAACATAGTTGTCGTGGGGGCCCCAGTACACTGCTTTGCTGTTAAGATGGCCCTGGGGAGTGTCCAATCAGGGCTCAGCAAAACAACAGGAGGAGGTGGTTCAGTTATTCTCCCAGCCTCTCCTAGCCCCCCCCCCCCCCGGCCACTTGCAAATACAGTGATGCTTCCCCTTTCCCTCTCCTTTGATAAATATATATATATATTTGCAATGTCTAGTCTCCTTTGTCCTCTTGCGGAAGAAGCAACTGGCCGAAACGTACATCAACGAAAAAGTAAATCACACTCTCTTCCATGGCCTTGCTCACACATACATCACATTAACTTCCATGGCACTTACTTGTGAGAAAGTTAGCGCAGGAAAGTGGCCACAGTTGCTTGCTTCTAGGGGGAGGGAGACAGGGCGCTGGTTCTGATGGCTTCACGCTGTGGAGTGGTGTCAACAAGCTGCACCACAGGCTCTCCCTCACCTTTCCCCTTCTCATTTGCCATAATTTTTGTAAGGAGGCAGAGGAGCCGAGTTCCCCTCCCCTGCTTGCTTGTTAAGAATCTCTGCTCCCTTGCTCTGTCAGTCTGGTGTGCCCTTTATGCCAGGTAACGGATTTAAAAAGTGAAATCCATTTCCCTGCACACATCCCTTTTCCAGCTCCCCCTTTTTCTTTTGTAATTGCTTATCTTGTGTGACACAAGTACATATTTTCAAAAGTGCTGTATTCATTAGTATGTGCCCCAAAGCATGGGATAAATGCATTCTGCATACATCCCAAGGCTGATTGCCCTCATAAACTCCAGGGGTTCCAGGATAGCTGTCCTCCAGAACAAAATACAGTGGTGCCTCACACTTCAAACTTAATTTATTTCAGGAGGTCGTTTTCTTCATTCAGGAGTCCGTTTTCAATGTTCTCCATTAGAAACAATGGAAAATGAATTAATTTGTTCCCAGACCCTAAACAATACCCAATACACCAAAAAAGGCACACACTGAAAAAGCACTTGAAAATGTTCATGCACTGAAAAGGCACTGAGAACAATCAAAAACTTGGATGCAGAAAGATGACATTTCCTCAGTGACTGCATTTTTTTTTTCATTGTGTGTGCAGTTCAAATGCAGAAGGATCATTTGTATTTTGGAATGATTTTATCTTGATTTTAGAGTTTGGACTCTGGAATGTTCAGACTTAGAGTTGTTCGAAGTATGAGGTACCACCGAAATATTAAAAGGGAGAGTATGAAATTGCCTCTTAAGATGGTTTTGCACAGCCCCCAGTGCCTGCCTGACAGAAATAAGCAAGGAATTCCTGTCAGGAAGGCACTAGGAATAGTCTTTGCCTCTGTTGGACTAGCATAGTGCCTTGAAGGAATCTAGAAATATTAGGCATACGCAATTAACTACCCAATTATCTAAAAATGCATAATAGTCTATCCAAAATGCAGCATTCTTTCCAGGTTGTTAGCGCATCACCTTTAATGTGCGTCACAATATTTTCCCAGTTCAGTGTTATGGCATGCTTTGCTTGTGTCCATTCATATGGGCGTTCTGGCATTTCTGCATTAATCAGCACATTTTAAAAACATATTATTAAAAACAATAACACAACTAAATCTTGGACTTTAAATTGAAAGGCCCAGAGTATAAGTTGGTCATGCTCAGGAGTTTTAAACTTTTTTTTTAACCTTGGCTGAGATTCCAGTTTGGAAAGGATTCCAGGAACAAGATTTCAACAGTGTAATGGGACAGAGCCAAAGACAGAGAAAGTAAAATATGTAGAACCAGATGTGCTGTTGTTAAACAAATTTGGGTATTTTTCTGTTAATCACACAGCTCAATCCTTTGCAAGTCTACCCAGAAGTAAGCCTGTGAAGTGCACAGCATACCTCTTTTGACCAGCTCTCATGCCAGCAAGACCCAGCTGGATTCTTCAATGGCCCATTGTTCCACTCTGGGGAAAGTATTCCACAAATAGAGTGCCATGACAGAGAAGGCTCTTAAGACATGGGCACCCTGATATAGAAAGAGGTGTTTTAAATGGTTGGCACTCACACCAGCTGCTTAAAACTGATAAAAGTCATCCTGGGCTTCCAAAGTCACCGAAGCCTCCAGTGATAAAGCTACATCCAGGAATACTCCCAGTTATTCATTTGTTCCTTCAAGGTTGATTTGAAAGGGTTCATTTGACCCCTTCAGGGGGTCTGCTTATCTATCAAGAACTGGCTGTACACCTGATTTCCAGACATAAAAATCACCTATCTGTTTCACTTTAATGGAGCTTTGCAACCCATGACTAAGCCTGGACACTAGCTGAGCACCTAAATGACTCACATGACAAGGAGAAATAAAGGTTGGTGTCATCAGCATATTGATGGCATCTTACTCCAAATCCCGATGACATCGCCCAGCGATTTCACATACATATTAAAAGCATGGGGTTGTGATAGATTGTTGCAGAACTTCCCCACACAAATGGCAGGGGGTCTAACAGAAATCCCCCACTGTTGTCTGCTATAACAGACCCAGAAAACAGCTCTGGACCAGTCCCCAAACCACAATCTGCAGAGTTGGTTCAGCATGATACCACGGCTGATGGATCAAAACTACTGAAAATCCCAGGATAACAAACAAGGTCACCCACTCCTTTCCCAGCAATATTCAACCAAAATCCTGGCCTATGCCCAGACCAAAATGGATCCAATTAACCCATGCCAAACAAGAGAACTTGAAGTTGAACCACAACAACTCTCAAAGACCTTGACAAAAACAGGGTATTAGCAAGACAACAGCAATTTGGCAATAGTAATACAACTGCACAACATGTTTACTTCATTTCTGTACTCCCCAGTAGCTAAACTTCTCCGGGCAATTCACACTATAAAAGAATAAAAATATAAAATGTTTGATATAGAAAATTTAAAACATTTTAAACAGATACTGAACCTGATTAAAAACATCTACTATCAATGTCCTCTCATGTGCAGTCCAAAAAATATAAAATGAAATAAAACACCTTGTAATGCCCAAATCATCCTTCAACCCCAAAAGCAAAGAAAAAGAAAAGAAGAAGAAGAAAAATTGCCAAGCTAAAGGACAGTTGGAACCCCCCCACCCCAGCTCCTTATATGGCCCTCCAGGCCATGCAGAAGAGAAGGCAAAACAGATGCCCAGGAGTAGTCAGTTTACCCCTGATAGTAACTCAGTGCAGCTACTCCCCTGGACCACAGCCTCCTGAGTTTGGGAACTATAATACTTTGTTCCCTGGAAATGCTAAGCAAACCCGACCATGCCAAATCTGTTATGAGGGTAGAGATTGTCTTCTTGAGAATTCTTGTTGCCCTAGATGCTGATCACATTCCAAGAAGCAACATCTGCAGTAGCTACTGTCACAGAGATAGCTTTGATGCAAAAAGCATCACGTTTTTGGACTAGAAAGAAATTAGAGTCTATCTAAAAAGGAATAAGCAGGTGTTAGCTATTCTCCCACAAATCAAATGGGGAGGATTTGTTGAGTAGCCATTTTAAATAATGAAAAATATAAACACATTGGTACCATAAGAATGCAGTGTAAACTGCCTGCCAAGTTCCTTCAAGAAGTGTCTATACAATGTTCATCTGTATCTTCTTGTATTACTTATTACAAGGCAATTGTGTATAGCATAGTACACTTTAATAGTGCTATCATTGTCATATGTATTGCATTAAAGAACTCTTGGAAATTCACACACAAAACCCTCTGTCCTGAGCAAAAAATAAGATGCACATTTCTAGATACTCACCAATAATTGTCACATTGTAGTTGAAGCCAATGAAGAGAAAGCAAATTATATCCCAGGTTTTCATGTTCAGCCTGGGTTGCTGGGATCCTCACTCCTTGAAGGCAGCAGGGGAAAAACCAGTGGCTTTGAATTCCACAGCAATTTAAATGGAGAAAGCAAAAAACATTGGGGGAAAATACTTAAAAGCTGGCCAGGAAGAGGAGTAACTAAATTACGCAACTCTACAGAGCAATCTGTTTCCTTCGTGAAGTTTAACAAAACAGCCTCTACTAGAGAGCTGCAGTTTAAATCAACTGTGCAGGCCTTCTGAATAAACAGAAAACAAAACATGACAAGCCAAAGTAGAAAAACAGGAGGAGGAGCCACAAAACCTGAGTAAGCCCTTAGGTCCTGGGTCAGCACCATCCCGTGGCTGGAGGTATTGCTTATATAATGGTTAGCACCAGTGCTTTTTGTCATAGAACGCACCGGAACAGAGTTCTGGGACCTTTTTTCGATGGATTTTCCAAGTTTTAAAAGTAACTTTTGAAAATTTGATGTTTGGTCCATGTGGATTTGAATTGCCCTGTCGAGCGTAGCAGGTCGGCAGCAAAATCATTAAAACGGTGCATGCGGGCTGCTTGTGTGTCGAGTCCGATGCACACGTACTTTGTCCACACTGGTTGTGGATGTGCTGCTCGGCTTGTGATTGGTCGTGTGGTCGCGCACTGAGTGCTTACTGCGGGCACGACCATTATGTTTCATTACACAGCTGACGTGTGTGGGTGTGTGTACAGTGATTGACTACGTGTGAAAGGTAAATAATTTCATGAGTTCCAGCACCATTTTTCATACAAAAAAAGCACTGGTTAGGACTATCCTACTGCAATTAAGCAGAGAACCTGTGTAGGACCTTGGAGGATCTGCCAAGCAGATTTTTTGAGTTCCTTTGCCCACTCAAGCTTTCCATTCCAAGAAGGAGCATACGTCACTGGTAACAGAGACCGGGTTCTACAGAAGTAAAAGCAATTATGGCATTGACTCTCCCCAGCGATGGCAATATACCTTTCTCCTAATGCAATAAATAAAAGACACTGTCAAATTCTTCCCTTTTTACCAGAAGTGAGAAACTACTCGCTTGGAGGGCTCAAGTCAGAAGCTGCTTACTGAAGAACAAGCAAAAGGAATTGAATAGGGAAATGAAACTACACTAGTGTGAGGTGGGGGGGGGGGGATTCTGAGAAATTAACACAAAAAGCCCCTTGCCTCCCCTTCTCTCTCTGAAACCTCAGCAGTGGTTGCAGAGAACTGGTGAGATTCCTCACCAGTGACAGTTCCTCTGAATTACCTATGGGAGGGCCTGTTCCTGGTAACCCATCCCCTTTTTAATTGCACTCTAAATATGCGCAATAGTTTTGGTAGTTTGGAAGTATTTTGGGGACATAGATACACTTGCCTGTCCACCAGGCTGAGAGGGCAGAATGAGGGTCTCTTTCAAGGTGGTGTTGTCTCTGTCTTTAGAATTTGACTAACCACCTGGTATATGTGACTATGCAAGTTTCTATACATATGGACAATTTTAAATCACTGGCAAAATTTTGCATTTTCAAATGTTATTTATATTTTTAATTGTATTTTATCACCCTATAGAAACAAAATAGACAAAAAGATAGATTACAACTAACAGTGCCAGAAACATGTAGATCTCTGAATGATTTGCAGTGGATCAGCAATGCTGTTGGAGCCCCATCATTTAGCAACATCGGCATCCACTGCAGGCTCAGATTTTGGAGGGCCCCCGAGCGAGGGCACACAAATACGTCAGCGACCCCACCTTCCCACTGCTGTAGGGAGCAGCTGCTTGTGCTCCTTGTCTGCTTACTTGACTGGCAGAGAGCAAGGGAGGAGGCTGACAGCAGTATCACCTTGGCTGCCACCTCCTCCTCACCACCCTTTGGTCTGGGCCAGAGTGAGAAGCAGGTTGTAGTGGTGAAGAGCAGGGGCAACTCCTGGGAATTCTTCCGCGTTTGGCCCCCTGCTGGGGTGCAGTCTCACCGGGTGCCCAACCAAGCCCCCATTGACTCCAGCCATGGCAACCACCAATATTCCAGCTCACTCCATGCATTTTGCTGCTAAAATGAAGAAACCGCAGGATGATCGTGAGCCGATTGTTGTGCGCGGAAGAACTGCATTCTGCTCACTTCCAGTAGTTGGCACAAAGTCTAGGGACTGAACTGTTTGATTCCCAGTGTAGGACTTTTCCAGCAGGGTCAAGTTGGAAGTTGATAGACCTTGGGAGTCTAGTTAATTTTTTAAAAATCTTGTAGATCCTGCAAGTTTGAAACTCAACAGCCCTGTCCTAGGAAAATATAGGCCAAAATCTCATAATCCAATGTATAATGCTTACATTTTAATAACTAAACCAGGTTTTTATAAGGTTTCCTAGTTTTCTTTTTTAAGATCACATTTACTGTCAGTCCAAATACCTGTCAGTCCAATAGAGCCAGCTGTTTACAAGAAATTTTGCATGCCCTAGTCAACCAATTCATTTAGTATTGATCTAAAAATTAGGAGTGTGAAACCTTCTAAAACACCAGGAAAGTAAATCACCCCTCCTACCCAAAGGTGATGATGGAAACAGGCCTGTTGGAGGAATCTTTCAGATGTCAGTGTTCGAAGACAATGGCAGGCAACCATCAAATTAGAGTCAGATAGTCTGAGCTGACTAGCACAATACTCAGAATCAGGTGCCTGAGGTGGTTTATTCACTCTGCCCAGTAGCTGGGGCAGTCTTGAAATGTCCGGGCTATGTTCAAGATGATCTTTATTCCTAAAGTTCCAGAATCATAAAATCACAGAGGTTTGCCATGAGATGTGAGTGAAGTGGCTGGTGTTTCATCTCATGAATCTCCTCCTTGGTTGGGTCGAAAAACAGGACTAGAACCAGAGTATCAGAATAGATGCCAAGGACCAACACTGAGAAAGGGAGAGAACTGAGACCCCGGCGGTGGGAGCGGGGGGAGGGGGCGGTTTGGTTCCTGGGCCCTGGGTTCTGCCTCTGTGTCCTGGAGGTATAGTGGGACATCAAAGAGGGAGCCAGTGCTGTGTGTGCTTTGAGTGTGTGCCTGGGCGGGGGACCAGGGAGATCCGGATTCTTGTCCCCACACACCCAGGAAGCTCCCTGGATGATTCTGGGCCAGTCACTCACTCTCAGTCTAACCTGCCTCCCAGGGCTCTTGTTCTGGAGTCACGTTAGCTGCTTTGGATTCCTCACAAGTGGAAAAAGGTATAAAAGCGATGTAATAGTTACGTAATAGCAATAAATATGGCTGTCCTAATCAATGTTATTCTATTGCCCCCAACATATTGTTTGGGTTTTCCAGCCAAGACCTTCTTTCTATAGTTCTTTCCCCATTTATTATTATTAGTTTGAATAATCAGTGGCTACTATCTGTATTTTTCTTTTCCCATTAGATGACAAAACATTTCAGTTTTCTTCATTTTATGTGCTTTATACTTTCTTAATCTTCATACATTCTCTTGAATACTTCTGTTTCCCTTTCCACCCATGAAATTTCTAACATTCTGCAGTAAATCTGCATTTGAAATCTTCTGTCATTTTATGGTAGTCCATGTTAAAGTCCACAATTCCATGCCACAGAGTAAAATGGAAAATATGTAACACTGTACAATGCATGCTCGAGGCTAATTTTAAGTTTTTATTACATATTATATATTTCATAATTAAAAAGCTATTCAAGGCCATCTCTAGACTAATGTATATTGCATTCTTATGATCCCACTGCTTGTTCAACCAAATTCTGAGATATTTATATTAATCAACTCCCCTCCAAACATTCAGACATAAGCGCAAGTACATTTCTTGTATACAGCTTTAAGATGACCAAAAGTTGTAAATAAAACTACTGCTAGAGAAGATACTCAAACAGGCATGCTTCGAAATGTCTCCGCATAGTTAAGCCAAACTGCACACTGAAAGGCATGCAAATTCATAGGACAAATCAAGGCATCACGGGGCACTTTCTTAATCCTTTTGGAAAAGTGAATGGAACTCTTTAAAAACCATCCTTTGGAACAAAAGGATTTGAGTGGATAAAAGATGCTGCTCCCTGATCAGTGTTCTTGCAACGCAAAACACAAACTTGCTGCACACACAATTCTCAGGAAATGGTAGCTGGGTCACTGAGGCAAAATCCTTTTGCTCGAACATGGATCACTAAAAGCCCTATCCAAGAGTGTCCTTCTGCACACTCAAAGCAAGAGCAGGGCTGCTGAAGTGTTCTGTTGCACAAGTGCTTGCACAAACATAAACATAGTTTGGAACCTGTGTCATTTGCACTAATGAAATAAGAGCTAGATGGACCCTCTGATATGGGTTCCAGTCCCTTGAGTTCTTTTCCCAACACCTGATAACTCAGTTGAATATGGCTGCCTGGGAAAGGAGGCATAGGGGTGACACACCAGAGTGGGCAACTTATGGCCCTCCAGATATTTTGGCCTAGAACTCCCATCACCCCTAGCCAGCATAACCAATAGTGTGGAGGATAGGAATTGTAGGCCAAAGTTCCTCACAGGTTGCTCACCTGCAACCTACATCTGCTAGGAAGCTGCACGTAGTTCTGTAGACAACTTGTGTATGTAGACAACCTCCTTATGTAGATTCTTGCTGCCTTGTGGATGGCTTAGGGTTGACCGCAGACTTACTATTTATGGTTTTGGAATTCTTTCCTTGGAGACAATAAAGCACACAAGTACATTGAAATCCAGATGCTGGTACGTGCATGCACACCAGTGTATACATGGATGAGCATCTGTACATACACACTTTCACCCTTCACATGAAAAGACATGTAGTCCATAGCCCTGTACCATTCACTGAAATGAACGAGAAAGCCCCATGGGTGCAAGACTACAGCGAAACTGGATCAGGCCGCCATCTTGGGCCCTGAGTGGTGTAAACCCTACAACAGAAGTACTGCAAAGAAAAGTCTAACTTTATTCTAAGTGAAATTTAGATTTACAAGCACAATAATTTATGCAAATTTGCACATATTTGTCTCTTCTGCATTATTCATCCCACTTTTGCAGTTTAGAAGGGAGAGCTAGGGCTACTGGAAGAGGGCTGCAATTCCTTCTCAAACCCTTTTTGGATCCTGACATTTCAGCCTGTACTTTAACTTCTCCTCCCGCCATGAAGTCTAAAAAATTCTCTCTTGAACATGACAAGGAGCACAAAGGCTGATATTCTTAGAATGGTGCATTTGGCCTCAGAAATCCACTCCTGTAGAGAAGGCCCAGCAATACCAGCCTTACAGGGGCACTATCCTCACATGATGATTCACGAGATGAACAGAGCTATCCTTGAGGTTACCTCTGCTCAACATATATGTGCCTTGGGCCCAAGGCTGGAACTGAGTAGCTAGATCTGCAAGCCCTGGCTCCTGCAGGACTTAGAACCCAGATCAGAGCAGGGGTGTCTACGCAGATCCTCTGCCCATGCCTAGAGGAGGGATGGACAGGGACACAAGAGACAGAAGGGGGACGATGAGCCAGGTAATGGCAATGCCTGGACAGGGCTCCAGGTACTGCCTTCTGCCTTCACATACCCTGTGTTCATGCCTAGCTGTAGAATGAACAACCCCAAATACCATGTGTCTGCGCTGGATTAGCGAGCCTCCTGAATCCAAGAGCCCGTCTAGCTACCCAAACAGAACGGCAAATTTTTATATTCAGGAAATAAGACTCTTCCTACGTTGCAACAGCGATCCTATTGGAACAGCGATGGTGGCAGCATGAAGTGGGCAATGCACGAGCTTTCCCCTCACACTGTGCTCTTTCCTGCCTTCTTACACCCATTCTGATTTTTTGGATCTTGAGCACCCAGCACTGCTGCAAACGGACTGAACATCGGAGGCCTTCCTCTCCAGAGTAGAATAATGAACTGAGGGCTTGTTGCTACCGGTGGATGAAGGAGCTCTGTGATGGCAGCCGTCCTGGGACTTTGAAGCCAAAACTCCTTTGAGAGTGCCTGACTGGTACTGGTCAAACCGTGGCTGCTCAGACAAAGTCTTTTGCTGCTCACTTCCCTGGAGATTTGTCCCATTGCTCTCTTGACTGGTGGCTGCGACATACAACTTGTTGCTGTTGCTGTTGAGGTTAGAACTCATGGCTTGCTGCGGAGTCAACACGGGTTGGAAAGAGCAGCCTTCTTTTGCTTCGCAGCTAAGCAAACACTGGCCACAGTCATTGGCAACAGAGATCCTGGCACGGCTGAGCACATTGTCACATTCATGCAGGTCTGGACCACATTTGGCCTCCATGGTGAACCTTTCCAGCAGGAGCTTATTTCTGCGATTTCTTGCAGCGTTGGTTTGGAAGGCAAAGACGAGGTCAACGAGGCTGAGGAGAAAGGAGAAGCCACTGAGGCCCCAGATGAAGAGCATCAGGATGGATTTCTCGGTGGGCCTGGAGATGTAGCAGTCCACAAAGCTCGTACAAGGGAACTGATTACAGGAGAAACGTCTCGGGACGAAGAAGCCAAATAGATAGTAATGGCCAGCCCCAAAACCAGCCTCTATCAGTATTCTCAGAAGAAGGTGAACTGTATATGCCCCCGAGAAATCAGGAATATCCATTTCATTTGCCCTGCAGGTGATTTTGCTCCTTAATGCACCTTTGGAGGATTTCTTTGTAACTCTTTGGCCGGATGAAGGCTTGATCTCTTTGTACCGCCGGTAAGGAAAGGAATATGCCTTCACAGCCTGCCTGACCACGTTGTGCAGCACACAGACACCAAACACAGCACAGGGCAGGAGAACAGACACAGTCTGAATAAGCCAGAACCGAAAGTGGGACACTGGGGAAAAGATGTCATAGCACACATTGGCGCATCCGGGCTGCAAGGTGTTGCAGATGAAGCGTTCCTGCTCGTCCTGGTAAAGAGGGTACGCTGCCAGGAATATCACAATCAGTCTCAGCAGGATGACAAGAGTCAGCCAAATCTTCCCTGGAAAGAGAGATCAAGGGTGGAGGCACCATCAGTAAAAGGAGTTCCACCATAGCATAAAATTCCTCTTAGCCTGGTTTCCGGCTCACTTTGAGAAGAAGTTGCACTTTATTCTCAAATCTGTCGAGCCATCTGTATTAGATTTCCCTCCTGAATCACTCACCCAGCAGCTGAGATGCAGGCAGAGGGCTCTTAACCGTGTGAGCAATGACAGCTTAGTGGGGTTTGTCCCCTTTGAGCCTCGGGTGCTTGTCCCCTTCCTGGGGCTTTGCCTTGCAAGAGCTGTGGCACACAATAAAAGGCACGTACTCACCAAGGCCACGCTGCTGTTCACACAGCTGGGAAGAAGGTTGCTAAGAGACCTTGCTAGCATCTTGGCTCACCTACTAGAAAGTGGCTGAGGCACATACTTGTTTGTCTCATTGATCCCTGTCACTTCCCACCAGGAAACGGTGCTCGAGGCAGCTAATAACAGCAGAAGCCAAAACCTAAGATACAAAGATGATCTAAAAAACCATGAAGCAGAGATGTTAAAAATGCAAACACCTGACTGTTAGAGAATGAGAAGAACACAGAACCCTACAGACATGCCAAGAACCTGCTTGAATGAAATGCATTTGCAGGCTGGAAGGCAAGAGAGAGGGGCGCTACCTGCCTACTCCAGCAGGGAGCTCTAAAAGTTGGGGGTGTCCCCCTACAAGGGCCTTCCTGCCAAACGGACACTGAAGTTGTCAGGACCAAGATAAAGGCCCCATAAGGTCCCTGAGCCCTGAGATCATTTGGAGGACCATATGAGAACCCTTTGCAGCCTGCTAGTTGCCTATCTTTAAAGACATTAACGCATCAAATGTACGAGCGACACCACACTGAACAATGGCAATGACTATGACATATGGTGCTTGGCTTGCAGGTGTGCGAGCATTAGTCAATAAACAATTGTCTAAATGCTAATTTAATTCATTCCAGATCAGTAATTCTATACTGGCTATGCACAGATTCACTCTACATAGCAGGAAAATGTTCCTCATTTGAAATATGCCTGAAAGATGGAATAGAAAATTAACTTTTAATGTGCTTTGTTTCCACAGGTACCCTCCCCCAGAGTTTATTTGATGGAAATACGTGTGGTTGCTTATCACAGTGCAAGAGAAAAGCGCCACATGAACACCCATCATGGGTGACACGCCAGAGTATTGTCATGTCATGTGAACCTGGCCCAAGTCCTGCAGGGTGGCTTGGCCACAAGCCACCCTGAGAATCCATAGCTGGTTGTTGGGGGTGCTGTATTCACTGTAGGTTGTTGTGTCATCTGAACCTGGCACCTGGCACCAAGCCGTCCGGCAAGAGTAGCAACAATCTCTTGCTCCCCTTGCCAAGCTTGTTCTGGCCACTGCCAGTGCCAGCAACACTACAAGTGCCAAATGGACTTTGGGGGGAATAGCGCTGGCTGGCTGGCTGGCCGGCCCCCACAACAAGTGCAAGCCATTTCCGGCTTGCTGTAGTTTTTTTCCACATTCTTTTTCTGGGAATTGTGAAAGCCGGCATGCTTCCACCCCTGTCAAGAAACCATGGAAAGCCTTGCCAAAAACAATCTGTTTTAAAAGAAACTGGAACTTGACAGCTAGCCATTAAACATTTGGTTCCTTTTAAAAGGGGATAGTTCTCATTTGTACATGTTCCCTGGTACCTAGAGTTAAAAACAAACAAACAAACAAACAAACAAACAAACAAACAAACAAAGGTTGAAATTCTGTCACTTGGGCAGATTGTAAAAGGCACCTAACAAAAACTTAAACTTTTTTCTTTAAACTGTGGTGAGTAAATAAGTCACGATCATAGTGAGCAAATGAGTCTTTCCTGCCACGTGGCTCCCTGGGTTACCCATGGGAAGACCAAGGGAGGAGGACGGGGGATGGGCTGTACAACCCTCAGCGAGTCCAGTTAACTCTCAGATGCACTGTGTTTTATTTGCAGAACAACCCATCCACCGTGACTTATTGCCAAGGTGAGTGCCAGTGTCCTGGGAACTTGCCCAATGATATATTTAAAAAAGGGAGAAGCTGAACAATGCAAGCTACGTAAATGCTTTGACTCCGGTTGGCTAGCAAAGTGCAGAGTGGAGTCCAGTCTTCCCTCCTAATTTTTCATTCCCCCCTTCCAGCAGCCAGCCAGCCTGCCTGAGGAGCCGAGAGCAGGAGGTAAAGGCAAATGGAACTCTGTGAAACTTGGGCTCTGCAAAAGGCAGATAGAAGAAGGGTGGATGCTTTCGAATTGTGGTGCCGGAGACGACTGTTGCACATCCCATGGGCTGCAAAAATCACAAACAAAGAAGTCCTTTGACGGTCATACTTTGGTCATGTCACGAGTGCTCAATCATGCTGGGAGTGACCAGCGGAAAAAGGAGAAGCATCCATTGGCTGGACACCATAAAGAAAGACACTGGGATGGACATGGCGATCTTGAAGGAAGCAGTGCGAAACAGAGAGGCCTGGAGGGCAGTGATCCATAGAGCGGCCAAGGGTTGGACATGGCTGAATGGCTGACGACTTCTATGCATCTTTAATTCTCCCAAAGCCTGCCAGCAACTCCTTCTGATATGTGAAAGGAGCTGTTAATAGCTACATAAAGTTCTACAGCCAAACCAAATGGCTATTAGTATAAACAATTTGGAATGCATTAATATTTGAATGAATTTGAAAGTGAGGAAAAACATGGCTCTTCTCATCTCTCCAGATTGCTAATGGATTTTGCCTAGTGAAGAGCAAAAAATGAATATTTGGGAAACACACACACACACACACACACACACACACACACTAGACTTGGGCAATCTGAACAATTAAAAAATGGTCATCAGGCCTTATTCTTAACCACTGAAGAGAAGTGGAGAAAGGGGTAAGGCAAACGTTTTGGTAAGTGTTCTTGGTATTGATCTAGTTCTCAACCATCTTGGTTTGCTATTTTGAGAGTTCCATTTACTGGACGAAAAGGCAGAACAGGAAAATTAGGAACCTGCACTGTAGTGACAGTGAGCAAGCGCCATGATTTCTGACTATAATAACAGATCTCTTAAATATTATCTTCTTTAGAACACTTGACTGTTTACATCCAATTCTCACAAAACTGAGTTTGGCAGACGAGGATTGAAAGTGGTGATGCTTTTAGATCAGTACAAAAAGTAGGTTGAAGTCTAGTCAAAGAGGGGGAAGAATCCATATCTTAAACATATGATATGGATTTAAACATATGATATGGGAAACATTCATATGATAAACATATGATATAGGAAACATTCTTGCTCATTTTTACCATAGAAACACAAGGTAAAAATGTTTGTAAAACGGGTGCTGGATCAGACAAAAAATTGTACACTGTTTTGAAAGCTGTTGCTAATCAAACAGTTTATAAAAAATTAAAATAAATAAATAATAAAGAACCTATAACTGGGTCCAGTTCTCATCAAGTTTCTTCCAAAGGTGTCCTTAACCTTTTCATCTGTAACTCACACTATGCAAGTCAGAACAACACGTATAGCATAAAACTGTCATTTTGTGGTACTATCTCCCTCACAGAACATTGAACAATTGATGGAGCAGCAGCTTAAACAAATAATCCTGCAACAACCACGTTTCCATATCAGTCCTCTTATTAATTGACAAAACAACATTCATTTACAAGATAAGAAAGTGACAAAAGGAGGAGAAATAGAAGACAGCCAAAAATACATGGATGGCACTTTCAGGAAAGAAGCCAATTTTGAAAAATTAAGATGCTTATTTCTAGATACTCACCTATAATGGTAACATTGTAGCTGAGAGCAATTGTTAAAAAGCCAAGCGAATTCCAACATTCCATGTTTGAATTTGGTTACTGGAATCTCCACTCACTGAAGGCGTAAGAAGTAATTGAGCATTTCAAAACAAGGCAGCCTAAATAGAAAGCGCAAAACAACACTGGGAAAAATATAGGAAAGCTGCCTGCACAAAGAGTGGAGAGGAATTGGGGCTTCCCTGAGAAGCACAGCCCAACGCAAGAGACCCACTGTGCCATTCGTTGCTCTCACCTCTTCCTCGACAACTGCAAGAAGACAAAAGGCAACAGGAATTATCTCTGCCATTGTTGGCTATTCTTACCCTCCCGGGGCATTCCAGCCTCCTGAAATTGCTGGGATAGTTCAGTGGTGAAAGAGAAATTGAGCGGTAGAAGAAATAATAGAAGCAGCTTTGTTTTCGCAAGTGATAAAAATGGATAACTGAGGAAAGGGGATACAGAGACACCAAGTGCCATGTCTTCCAATGGCATTTTCTCCACAGCAGCCCTATCTGTAAAGCTTCTTAAACCGATAAAAAACTACTTCCCAGAACCAAGTCACATTCTCAGAGTCACCAAGAAACAGAACTCTGTGTTATCACACATCTTTGTCTTTCCTCTCTCCTGCATAAGTGAATGGCTACTATTCTTCCCTTTGGGTCCAAGTAAAGCACTGCATTTGAGGACACAAAACACACCCACCCAGTCCATCACCGGGTGGCCCAGCTTTTAAGAAGAGGAATGCTGCAGAAGGAAGAAGCCATGCTGAAGGAACACACTGCTCCCAGCCACCCACCCCTTCAAGGTCCCAGTCTGTGGGGCACTCTTGAACCCGCTCTCACGCCTGCATTAGGGATGGGGTGACACTGCGCCCCTGCGGGAGCAGGGAGCCTTGTACAACGGGGCCCCAGTGCAGTGCCCACAGACGCCTCCAATGACACCCACAAGGGGGTCTCTTCTGCAGGGACTGAGGCACCAACGTTTTAAATAAATATTTTACTTTTATTTTTATATACATACACAAATTGTATAAAATGCATATTTTTATCGATTATGCATATTTGGTCAACAAATAAGCATTTATAAGTTGGAGTCTCTATGCCACCCATTCATATATTAAAAGCATTCACAATTCTGCATGAGTGTTTATCCTTCCCGTGTTGTAATATCAGTCTTCTAGCTGTCAAAAGGTGCAGGGAACCTATTCCTACTTCCATTTGTTAATTTTCACAAAGCAAGCAAATAATTTGGAACAGTACATCAGTGAATATTAAAGACAGTTCCAGTACAAAAATTACCTGTGTAATTACGTCCTCCCCAAAACAAGTAACTACTAGACCCTGTCAGCATCTCCATTTATTATTGCATTACCATAATTAAAAGTGTTCGCTGTCTTGCACCACCAGTAATCAGTTGAATTAGACAACCCCTTATTAAAGCAATGGTGGATACCCAATAGAATGAAACAAAGGTTTTTGCTGAATGCGATGCAACTGAGACCCACAGACATGTTGATGCTCCAGCAATGATCCACTCATGAGGCATTTTGTGGTGGTGCCCACAAAAGCTCCTCCAACACCAAGGTTCAAAAGGATTGTGGGTCCCCTGCTTGAGATGGCCCACTCTCAGAAGCTTATGGAATCTAAGGAAAGAGATTACTTTGTGGAGAATTCCTGCTAAATAATTGCTGGTGATTCTTTCAAGGCACTGTGAACTGGGGAGATGTGACAGGCCTTAGCACCCTCTCCAGTTTGGGAGATCCCACATTGCTCCTCGTATTCTGAGAAACTGCAAGCAATGAAACAAGCCAGGCTGCAAACACTAAAAGACTCCAGAGTGAGGACTCCTGAATACATGCTAGAACACACCATGCTAACAGCCAGTCTAACTGCACTGAGCACCTTTGCAGTTTGTAGCCACCGGACCGGCTTCTTCTTGTTAGGGGTCATCTGAGAGTCAGTCTTAAAGCAGCAGCAACACATTACCCACATTACCACTTTCCCCTTTCTTTCCAAAGGCTCTCAGAATAACAGTATATGCATCAATCATAGCAATTGTTCCTCTGCGCGGATCTGGAGTTCACTATATTTTACCATTGGATCATGGGGTCCCTCAACATACACTGAGTCTACAAGGAGTTGTTGTGGCTCAGAATTCTAAGACAAACACCAGGCATTAACTTGGCTCCTCCTGCTTGTGAGGTGGCCCAACGAGCAGGATGTTGTGCCTGCCTCTGCATGCTGGACTTGGAACTCATGGTTTGGAGTCTGCTTTTTGCTCTGGGTTTGCTAAGGTTTTCCTAGTTAGGGTTAGGTTGAAAATAGTCAATTGCACCTCTGCTTAAGTTTCAACACGATGTAGTTGTGGCTGTGGGCTTGGTGCCATTAACCTCATAGACCTCCTGCTGCCTCCAGTGCAGGCTGAATCACATGCCTTGAAGACTAGCAGTGTCTCTGCTGTCTGGTTGTAGCATTCTTTTCTTTGTGGCTGTTGCAGGCAAAACTGCTCCTGGGGAAACCTTGGACTGACCCACCATACCTAGGGATGGCGTGAAGCTCTCAGTGCACATTCCATCAGCAGCTGTGCTAGGAAGAATTCCAGACCATCAGGGGTGTGTGTCATAGCTCCAGTAGAGCTTGGAGAGCATCTTCACCTGACGCAGTGGCTTTGCAAGCACTGTTTGGACTGTCTGCCTTGCTCCTTCGGCCTTTACATGTGACTGCAGCTAACCTGGGCTGGAATGAAAAAAGTGTGCCATTTCCCTGCTGGCAAAGGGGATATGGTCACTTATCATTCCTTGTGGGCTGGCACAGCTACTAATTACTTCTTTTTATAGACACTATTGTCTTTCTGTCCCATTAAAACTCTGCACACTGAAGAGTAGCAACTCTGTACCTGTGACAATGTACTCCAAATACAGGTGAGGCTATCCCAGTGTGGAAGGTATCCCAGTGAGTATACAGGTTCCTTGCCAAGTCTGTATTCTCCTGCATCCTTGGCAAGTCTGTATTCTCTTTTGCCCTGGACACATCTCAGAGCCTGTTACAGACATGATTTCTATCAGCATTTGGTGGCGTCGGACAGTCTACAAATATTGATTGCTTTCTGCAAGTTCAATTCAGACTCCGTACATCAGGCATAGGTGTCCTGGTTCAGAGGGTGATAGCAAAAAGCCAATAGTCAAATGGACAAAGGTCAGTTAACAGGAGATTGTAAATCACCAAGCCAAGATGAGTCAGCAGACATTGTTAAGAATCCGAGGTCAATAGCCAGAGATCTATTGTCAAAGGACAAGCGTGCAGCAGGAGAGTTGCTGGAAAGAGGAGTCACTCATTAAAGAAATAAGAAGCAGGCATGCCACAACCAGAAGAAGCAACACATATTTCAGAGCCAGCCTTTTATGCTGGCCTGGCTGAACCTCAACCCCCACCCACAGCTGCATCAAATGGCTGCCCTGAAACCCCTGCTCCTAAGTAGAGCTCCTTCAGTTGACCAAGGCCTTTGCTTACTGCTGAGGAGTCCTCCTGGGAGGGAGTATTTGATGCCTTGCTCAAGGCCTGCAAATTTCCCTTCTGACTCTGGACTGCAAACTCTCCTGCTGTGGAGGTAGAACAAGGAGGCTCTGTTGTGAGGTCTCAGCTCTGCAGTTATGTCCTCACCTCCACTGGGGAGGAAAGCTCCTGAGCCAATGAAAGGATCTCCCTGGCTGAGGGCTCTGCCCAGGAGGACATGACTGCAAGCAACTTGGTAGGCTCCAAAGGTTCTTGACTGCAAAACCCCTCAGTCCTATCCAGCGTGGCCAATGGTGGATTATTGAAGTTGCAGTCAAAACATCTGGAGGGAATCAGGTTGCCTACCTCTACCTCCGGGAACCCTCTGTGAATATTAGGAGGGTGAGTACCCGGAGGAGGGCCTTCTCTGCGGTGGCGCCCCATCTATGGAATGCGCTCCCCAGAGAGGTCCGCCTGGCGCCGTCATTATTTGTTTTTCGGCGCCAGGCTAAGACCTTTTTATTTAAAACTTCTTTTAATTGCTAAACTATTGTATTTATTAGGATTTTAAAATTAGCCGAGAATGTACCGGGGGTTTTAAATGTTTTTTCTTTTAAATTGTTATATTGTTATTCTTTATGTATGTTTTTCTGTATTTTTTGTGAGCCACCCCAAGGCTTTGTTGCGATGGGGGCGGCATAGAAATGTTTTAAATAAATAAATACCTGAAATTGTCTCTCCTTCAGTTCTGGCACTGAACAAAAGTTTGCCTCTGATCATGCCATCACCTGGATTTCTAAACTCAGTTCCTTTTTTCCTCAGCTCTATAAGGTATTCATTCCTTTATTCTTCTACTGCTGGTAGGTGAGCCCAGAACCGATCATACTCAAATATAACTTTTCTTCTGGGATCACAGAAGGATTTGTATGGAATTCAATACTCTTCCATGAGGACAATCTGCAAACTTGTGTTTTATACTTCCAGAACTGCTTCTTCAGATACATGTCTTAAAAAGGAGACTTGAAAGGTCTTTGTATCTGTTCCGTCAACTGTCGCAAATAGTTACCGCACTGTTGCTGTTTCATCCAGTGTTCTGCAAGGTCTCCCACTGGGGACAAGTGTGGGGTATAGCCACTTATGGTGGTCCATCCATACAGTTCCTTTGTGCAGCTCCTCTCTAGTAGCCACTGTGAGCCACGTGCTTCCTTGCGTAGCATTCAAGAATCTGTGTCCATTCCTGACACCATCCCCTTGAAATCAGAAACCTACAGCTGAGGCAAGATGATTGAGGCAAGTCTTCTATAACTCAGATATTACAACCAGTTAACACACCATAGGAACTGGCCTCTGCCAGACTTTGATTCCACTGATCTCCTCTCTCAGCTTCTAACCAGGTTACTAGTATCCTTTTGGGAGATGCTCTTAAAAGCAATAGTTAAAATTTACTATACTGAGAATATGAACTGGCCCTCATTTATCTGTGGGAAAAAAAACATGAAAACTGGCTTGGAAAGAAGACAACATGTTAGTTGAGTTACTGCTGTTATCTATATGTACCCAGAGCAAGAGAGGTGTTACATGTGATCCCCAAGTTTTCAAATGAGACCACTGAGAACCAAAGTGAACACTCAACAGAATTCTGTAGTGTACCTCTTACTGACTGTATTATTTCAGATTGCGTGCCCCCTCCCATGCTGGGGTGGGCAATTTTCAGCCCTCTGTATGTTTTAGGTACAATTCCATTATCACCATGGGCTCTGATGGTTAGGGTTCTTGGGAGTTGTAGGCCAAAACATATGGCTGGCCACACATTGCCCATACTAAGACTCACTGCACTTGGATAATTTGTATTCCAAGGATTCCAACCTAAGAGCAACCTATACATGGAGAGCCAGCATGGCATAGTGGTTAGACTATTGAAATTGGTCCCAGGAGATCAGGTTCTAGTCTCCATTCAGCTTCTGGATGACTTAGGGCCCACTGGTGAATCTCAGGCTGATCTACCTCACAGGCTTCCTGTGAGGATAAAATAGAGAGATTATTCTACCTTAGGTCTTTGCAAGAGGAAAAAAGACAGGATATAAATGCAGCAACAACTTCTGCTCAGAATAAGTCCTACTGAATTCAATCGGATTTCCTTCCAGATAAGCATAGAAGATTGCAGCCTAAATTTCTGTTATTCTGAAAATATTAAGAGGCAGGGAAGAACCATGACTGTTAATGAAATATGAAGCTCCTCAACCCAGTACATGCCATGTGAATTATCTGTATTTTGATGGCTGTTACCAACAAGAAAACTTCATGCTTTGGGTGTGGGGTATAAGAGAGTTGTTTTACCTCAACTTTGTTAATAATATTCACCATGCACTGACTAGATAAGGGATGCTGAATGCATGATTGCTTTAAACATTCACAAAACATTGTTTTGGCCCAAGTGCATTAGTACATCTGTTCTCAAAGGCACAGAGAAAACAGCAGAGTTAAAGTAAGCATCCTTCGCCCATTCTTAAGTTTCTCTGCTGGCCGTGGTAAAAGACAAAGCTCAAAACTGTTTATTCACAGTTACTGAATGAAGTGTCTGTTTAGTGAGTTTTTAAGCCTTTTGGAGACAGAGAGATAATAGAAATTTGGCCACTGAATGCTGGAAGAGAAGAACACATGGCTGAATAGAGGCTAACATTTCAACTAGGGCACACAGACCAAAAGAATGATAATGGATGGATGTGAGCTATGAAACAGCTTGCTTACCTATACGCTTTTGTCTGTTGAGTGGAGTTGTGTGTAGCCGGACATATGTTGTGTGCATGTGTGTGTACTTCAGAATCATCCAAAGCTTCAAGCAGGATTCTTAATATGCAGGCTTCAGGGAGCTGGCAAGTACTTTCTACTGAATTATTCTCTTCTGACCACCAATGGAAATGCTGTGGGGACTGTGTAGAAACCACATTCAAGTTACGAAAGATCAACAGGAATCAGAGGAATCAAGTGCTTCCCTGATGGCATCTCATCTTATGTTATCCAGAGGTGAAAAGGGAGGCTTTGGAATGTGTCCTTCAAAACAGTCTCCAAAATCAGTTCTGTAAAAGTTTAAGAATGTATGGAGACAGATTTGGCTCAGATACACAAATACTGTTTTTCTAGCCCTTATTGGTAAGCATAGTATCTGCAATGCGAAGAACTCTGATCTACTAGACTCTATTTGCTACTGTTTCATATCATCTATTCTTGTTTTGTTCAACGCTGGGAAGGGACACAAAGCCCTACATAGCTCTGAAGCCCTACCACTGGGAATTCTATTTTGCCAGCCTCTAGCTTCCAAGATTTCAGCAGGGTTACCAAACACATTTTAAAATGCGTCTTCACAGCCAGCCATACAAATTAAAATTTGCCCAATATTGCATGCACCATTTTTTCCCTGCAATTTCTCAATGACCTGGTTCACACAGAATGCTAAGCCATTTTTAAAAATTCATTCCTAAGCTATGTAAGTTTGTTACCCTACCCATGGTTTCTCCAGCAGACAGCTGAGGAATTAGTGGTTTGTTTTTTCCAATCTCTGGGTCCCATTTTCCAGCTCTTCTTTGGAGCACGGGCTTATACACCAGCAGTGCTTAAACTAAGTTTCTTTGGTAGTCTTTTAAAATTAAGGCTATATTCAGTTTTGAGGGTGGACAAGTACTATTTGAAATTACGCATAAGAACACCAACAGTCCAGGGTTTTTCTGCAGTTTTTGGCAACCTTAGAAGAAACTGAAACAGAAATCCTAGGAACATATTATAGAACCATACAGTAAGAAGATGATTAAAAGTGTTCAAAATAATTGACTGTACAAAAACATAACAGGAAAAATGAAAAAACTCATATATAACAGCAGATTTCTTTTTTTTTTAATTTTTAGTGCAAGAAACATAACCAAGTTAAATCACAGAATCAGTACTAATTGAAGAATATGGAAAATTCTCCTATACAGAGGTAGAATCCAGTGCACAAGGCTAAAACGATATCCAATAGTCTAAACAAGACTGAGCCAGGTTTTACGGAATCCACTTGAAATTTTAAGTATCCGACTGTATGTACATACATACAATAAATAGACTATACAATCTTTTAAGTTGTTTAATAAACCTCACAAAATTATAGTAGATGCATTGAGAACTTTACATAATGCAAACCTTACTGCCTTCCCCTACCCCCATTCCAAACTGATTATCAACAATGCTCTTGCTAGAAAAGTCAGCCCCAAAATTGTTTTGCAATATATTGAAAAACAACTGAATGTAAAAATCATATTTACATGTTTGGGAGAGGAGCTGTAACCCCATTCTATCAAACAGCAACTCTTTTCATTCTCATTGTTTTCTTTTCCCCCAATCTCTTAAAGATGCTTTTTAAAACATTCTATTTAAGGAAAAGGCAAGGGGTGGGGATGGAATCTTCAAACCCTGACCTGGTTCAATCAGAACTCGATTTATTGGCACAATAATTAAGAGAGTAATAAAAAGGAGTGAGACTTAAACTGTTTTAAGGTTCATGAAACACAAAGAAGCATCCAACAGTGCCTGGCCACTGCACGTTTTACACTGTGCAAGTGCTATTGATGGTGCACAAGCAATGTTTCCCACTGGTGCTGCATAAAAAGTGCCAACAGCTGGACGGTGTTGGATCCTTCTTACTGGTGTGCAAAGTCTTCACACTGTGTCATGCATGCTAGAAAGTTTGTAGAAAACGGATTATTAGCAATTTAATATTGTCAGTGCTCTACTCCTTTAAGGCAAGAAGCATCTTTCTCAGGGATACTGTTACCTGATGAAAGTCTTTTAGTGCTCTGCTTCTGAGCATGCTTAGGGCACATCCAGACAGCCACTTCCTACACTCCCAACTAGGTATTAGAGAATCAGGAAAGAAACATGGCAATTGTCCTATAGAAATAATTGTCCCCAGCTCCACCAGGACTGGAAGCTGGTAGTGATGATGACACAGCCACTATTGGTTCTCGTTGGCCACCATTGGTTCTCAGTGGCCAACTGGCCACTGGTTCTTATTGTCCAAGCAGGAGACTAGCTTGCCTAATGCCACCCTGCATACCTTAGCTGAGATCCCAAGAAAGAAACATGCAGTCACAAGATTGCACTTTCTGATGCAGCAGCTCATGCCACTAAGGAGACAGGTCTGAAAGGCAGCTTGCTTCCTTAGTAGAAGGAACTCCTGAAGAAAATATCAACAGCAAAATTTCTGGTTTGGAGGCATGTCTCCTCTTTGGTTCCACAGCTTTGACCACAGGGACTGACATTTCCACTTCCCCAAATTAAGAGGTGCATGGATGTGCCCTTACATGGAAAATGCAAGCAGTCTTGTTGGGTTTTAAAGGTCAATGGGACCAGATAAAGAAATGTGTCTAGGGCATGCTATCACTGCAACTAATGGGAGTTGCTCAGGAGCACGCCGATGGACCATTACTCTGTGCAAGCCTCCGATGAAACGAACAGGACGGGAACTTAACCACACAGCTGGCATGGGTGTCTGTGCAGGAGAAGCTCTTGGTGGAATGTGCTTTGTATGTTACTCTCATGCAGTTCACCTGACACAGAGAGGGAGAGTGTCGTGTGTTTCACCATGTCTTGCACTGGGAAGAAGAGAGTTCATGGAACTCCATGCTCATTAAATGTACGGCTGATTTTGGTCTGTTGTTTTATGTAAAATGGCAACCTTCTCAAATGTGCAAAATAATTCAAAGACACTTGTATAGAGTATTTTTACAGAGATAACTTGAATTGCTATATTAAAAAGGTTATTCAACTTGCTTATCCCATTAAGAACAGGAAAAGAAGTGTGGGAAACCAGTAGTAAGAACAAAAAGGTACATTATAATCAATATAAGCAACAAAATTCTCTTCACAGTTTGCATTTTGTTTAAATTTCTATAAGCACCTACACTGAAAAATGCAATTGTTTAAAACAGTTTTTATTCTGAAATCTAACCTGTGACAAAACACTTGGTAAAATTAATATAGGTTTTAGTCTTTGTCTTCAATGGACCCTTTCTTACTGAAACAAAAAACTTTTTTTTAATTATTTTTCTATTTTATACAAACAGATTGGTTTCCATTTAAAGTAAACATATAAAAAACTTGAGGCTATTGCTTGCAACGTTGAACCAGGAAGTGAAGGAAATCAACTGTTTGGGCCATATGAAAAGAGATATTTCTCCCTCCCGCTCTCCCTTCTCTTTTCATCTCTCCCACTTAAATGCTGCCAAATCTCTAAATGCTCTGAAACGCTTGCAAGAAGGACTACCACATCCTATGCAAATGTCACCTCCTTGGCCCAAGTTATACTGTTGTCTGAATCCTTCCAATAACTATAACTTTATAGTAAGGAAAAATAAACTATCCCAAAGAATGTAGGAAGGCACATGCAGCCACATATACGAAGAAGCAGCCAGTATTTGCGACGCAGCTCATAGGCAGCACCATGGACATGGTTGCTATAAATTAAAGAAAAGGTGGGGGAAAGGAAATTACAAACGAACACCTGATCTTCTTGTATACTTTTGGTTCAGCACTATAAATCAAGTCATTTTTTTTCAAAAATACAATAATGGTATACAAGAAACAAAATACGCAATAATAATTAAAGGGAGAAAAGCTAATAAAACAGCATATGAAAAAAGGTGCAGCACGCTGGAGTGGGAGAGAGGAGAAAACAACCAATGTTGCCCAATTTAGAGGCCTTTGTTGTGCTAGTGTAGATACTGCCTTCTTCATAGTTGCTGCTTTGTGGAAGCAGGAAAAGCAACCCAGCAAACCCAAATAGGAATGCAAAAACCCAGAAAACTGATAGAAGATACTGAGGAGAACGTGAAACACTTCCAACTCCTTTCTTATAGTACTTCTTCCCAGCTTATCTTGTGGTGTTTATTTCCATTTATTTCCAACTGTTTTTGTTGAGGGTTTTTTTTTAAATAGCACACTTGTTGGTTTCTGTTTTCTCCTCTTCTAAGCATATGTATGCATTGGCCTTTTCCTCACAAAAAGGGACAAGCTCTGGAGCAAGTAACAAAATCAATCCTCTTCCAAAGTTCTTTCCGGTGTACTGATTGTTCTCCCCAGTCCTTGTTTTTATTACTGTGTGCTACACAATGGGGGAGGCACTGTAAAGGCAGATCTAAAAATAAGAAAAAGTAAGGACAGAAGGAAAAACAAAGAAGAAAAGAAGAAGAAAACACCCCTCCCACCCGAAGTTGATGATAGAAACAGTATTTTTGGAAGAATATCCCAGACTTCACTGTTAGGAGATAATAGCAGGTGACCATCTAACTACAGTCAGATTGTCCGAACTGACTGATCGTTTCTTTGCAGATTTCCTGAAGTCCTTATACTTGTCTTCACACAAGCGAGAGATGGCCTGCAGGAAGATGGGCAGTGAAGAAAGGTCAGGTACATGCAATAGCTTGTTATTTTGCTACCTGATCCTTTTACCTAGAAAGGACGGAGACTGAACCTGCATGCAACACACACATTGTATTACTGAACTACAGTTCCTCCCTCATGCTCCATATGCCAAGCTTGTACAATGTGGGGTCCAGCAAGTCATGTGCAGCCTGTTACACAACTCTTCAGGCCCTTCCTATCAACTTAGGAAGGGCCATGCTAGACCAGACTAAGCCTGTATCTTGTCCTGCATTCTGTTCTCACAGTGGCCAAGACACTGCCTGTGGGGAACCCACAAGCAGGACATCAGTGCAACGGCATCCTCCTGGAGGTGTTGCCCTACCACAGGTATACATTGGTATATTACCTCTGATACTGGAGGCAGCATAGAGCCATCTGGACTAACATCCGCTGATGGCCTTATCCTCCAGGAATTTGCCCAATTCCTTTTTAATAGCCATACAAATGTGCGTGCTGATGGCTGGATGACCACTCTGCCATCATGACATGAATAGCGACCCCCTGAGCCCCAAAAAACCAGACTGGATGTGATCCCAGAGCTTTTGGCAACTCTGGTTTAATGCTCCACTTTACTCAATTTAAAATGAATTTTGTAAAATTCTTGCTGTTTAATCAGCCAGTTTAATAAATTCTACCCTTTGAGTAGAAAGCTATCACATATAACATTGTAGAAAAAATATTAAGCAAAGGATGAAAACAATAGTTGCCCTCACTCTCATATTAAATTCAATTTAACACAGCTGTCCTCTCATATCTTTTTCAATTTGCCCTCTCCAGCTGTTTTCTCAGTCTTTGCTAATCAGTATTAGTAAACAAGTCAGGTTTGACCACATCCAGTTATGCTCTACTTGCTATCTTCAATAAGGACTTAAAGAAAATTGGTTAATTTAGACTTGCTAATATATTTTGCCTAACATGCTAAAATTAACATGCAATGTAGAGCTTAAAAGCAGTCATATGGGGCAGGGGGCGGAAATTAAAATAAGACCTAAAATTAAGCCTTTGGTTTTTAACCAAGGTACTGCTGCTGGTATAATGTACATGTTCCCACAGGCCCAAGAAGTCCTCTAGGCTTTTCGAAACAATCCAGGCTTCTCTGTCATTTTCAGTGTTCCTAAAGTGAGCCCCTCTCAGGCCAAGGGCAAATTCCATTTTAAAGGGGTTCTTGGGGACTGCATTCCAGGAGTGGCTGAGGCCAAAGCAAAAGGTGTGGGGCCAAAATACCGAATGTACTGATGCAGTTCTAGTTTAAAGCCCTTCAGCTTCCAAGCTATACAAGCAGCAGTACCTTGTGCCTGGGATCGGATGGGCCACTGGCTGCTGAGACAGCTGCACATTGAACAAATACTGAACAAGCAGACAAGAGCGCAGGCCCAATTGTTTCACAGCTGGGCCCCTGGCTCTCCTTCCTCCAGCACAGGAGCATTAAAATCTTCTTTCATCTTGAAAACATATGCCCCAGCAAGTACAAACAGTGCAGAATTTCCTAGATCAAAGTGCCTAAGGTTGGAGCTCTCTGGTGGGCAGAAATGAAAATACATTTTATCTGAAAATGTTTAGGGACAGGGTAAAAACAGCCACCTTCCAGATGTTTTGGTCTTCAATTTCCATCAGCCATGGCCAGCATTGGCAATGGTCACAAATGTTGAGAGTTGCAGCCCAAAGCACCTGCAGGGCCCCAGGTTGGGGAGGCCGGTGCAAAAGCAAGAGGTCTCCCTGCCGTGTCTAGGAGCTACAGAGCAAGGTCTCACCTCAAGTTTATATGCCCTTTCCCTGCTGAGTGGCTCCAGCGGAAAGCTCAGGTTGTTGGCTTCTGCCAGGGATCGCAAATCAAAATAATACTTGGCATAAACACTGGAGGGAACATTGATGTTGAACTGCAGCAGCTCCAGGAACTGGCGCTCCAACTCATTCCTGCAAAATAAATAATAGGGCACATGCAAAGACACACTCTAGCACTCATTTTACAGGACTGTGATTTGCTTCAATTGGCAATAGGGGTTGTGAGTGCAAAAGAAAAAAGATCTATTGTAAGCTTGGAAACTTGGGACATTTTCAATACAGACAGTTTGAAGAATTTGTCTTCTACCTTAAATATTTATAGCTAATACACATTTCTTACTTAAGTTCTTCTCTTATGCTATTTGTGGCATATTAAGCGCTCATTTTCATTCCATGCTTGTCCCTTGAAATCCAACTAGTCCAAAGATAGAATTGAGCAGCAGATGCTCAATAAGCCCATGCAAAATTCCTTTGGTAGAATACATTAGATCAGACTTAAGCATGAGTTGTTTGTGGTTTACCTGATTAAACAAGTCCTTGCACATTTTCTTACTTGTAAAAGGAATTTTGGCATACAATCTCTGGACTATGCAATACAAATGCATGTATACCTTTTCCTTTTTTAGGAAACACTTGAGGAAAAATGTAGTCTAGATCAGTACTGTCCTACTCTGATTAAGCCTGAATGCCCTTTTTAAAGGATCATTCAGTGGTGGGTTGTTTTTGTTTCGTTTTCGCATTCTCAGAAAAATTGAACTATGCCTTATTAAAAAGATGAAATATATATTTCTCTATTTCTTGATATTAGGACTCCATTTCTTTCTTTGTACGTCAACAAGTATCCTTAGCTGCTCACATATTTAATTATTCACATAGACTCATATACTAATCAATTGCTCCCATCTAAACAGTTCTCCAAGAGACCTGCTGTGTGATGTGTTGGGCTGCAATGGTTCAAGCCTGCATGTCCGCCCTAACACAGAAGTCCTGCCCTCTAATCTAATGTAAACATGTTGGAAGTGAAAAAGGAAAAGAATATGGATATCCACAGAGGGATTCACATTACTTCACAAGATCCTGAACCACAACACTGAAAATATGCTGCAGAGATAAAATACTGAGTCCAGCCAGATTTCACAGAACTAGAAAAGGCATCCATTGAGAAAAGACAGAGAAACTCTGACCAGCTAACCTGGAAGGCCTAACAAACACCAAATAGACTTGGTTTACCACTGTTAACACTGAGTGCTTCCAGACAAAGAGGTCCCAGCACTCCTAAGCAGAAGGCATTTTATGCTTAATCATCTGGGATAAGAAAAAAATGGAAGAAGTGGTATAACAACACAAGATGTTGTTAAATGAGAACAGCCTTAATAGAGCTTAAGTCATAACTAATATAGTCCATTAATTTCCACAGAACTTAATTTCAACTAATTTAGCCTGGATGCAACCATATTAAGTTACCTAGTTCCTTTATATTCTTGAAACACTTTTCTGTAAACTGCTTCCAAAAACGTATACATTATAAGGTAAATAATCGATAAAACAGTCAGCTACAAAATATGAGTTAACAAAATACTGAATTCTGTTTGCAATTGGCAACAATAGAAAGAAGCATCTATAGTATACACAGGGCTAGATGCAATTTCTTTAAATCATTGTGCACGGCACATTGATGGCTTTTTAACAGAGAAGACAGTACATACTTAAGTTGTTAACGAGAATAAATAGACAACATTAGTGAAATGAAACTATAACATTTGGACAGAACAGTGAACTTACATGTCCTCAACTGTGATATCTTTCAGGATCTGACAGTAGTCCACATTCCACACAGCCTGGTCGTCCCAAACTTTTGATGCTAGCAGAATTGCACCCAGGACAATTCGTTTCCAGTTTGCTGGACAGATATCTATCTCTGCGTAAGTTAAAAGTCTTTCAAGGTATACCTGAAAAGACACATTATGATCAGAATTCATTGTATTTCTCTATCAAGGCAGCAATTGAGGGAAGGGGGGAAATGCTCACCCCCTGCTTGGCTGACTTTGGAAAAGAAAAACTTTCCAAAATGTTAGCACTGCCAATTGCACAACTTGGTAAATGGCAAGAGCCACATTTTACTCAGTCATAAAATTTCTTGAAGGGGGAAAAACACAGTCATGCCTGCAATTATCTGTTATAATAAAAGAGTGTTATCTGCTCATCTGTCACCAACTTAATTCTAAAACCATGAAACTTAGACAGTAGAAACTTGGTATGCATACTAAGGAGACCCTAGGCATGCATGTCTCATTGCTGCTGTAAAAACAGTTGGGAATTAATTAATTTAAATGTGACCCATTTGTCCACGGTTGAAATCCATCTTCAGCCACAAGGGGCTGACTTCCCTAACTAGCACACAGATTTGCAGTCCATATAAGCTGAAGTCCAGGGAGATTAGTAGGTCAAGAGATACAATTTTAGGCCTACCCCTTCCCTACCCAACCCTCCACTCCTCAGGGGAATGGAGTGGGAAGACCTCTCCATCAGTGGGCTGTGGGATATACCATGGCACAGACAACACCTAGGCCAACATGCATGGATTCACTCACAATGTATCTAACTCTGACAGCTGCAAAACTTTGCTTGAAGGCTTTGCTGAACCAAACTAGGTGCTCCTGCAACCTATTAACAGCTGGGTTTGTTTGTTAGTTCTTAATATAGTGACTGAGGTGCCATTAAAAATAAAAATCCGATTAGATCAATAGAAGGTCAGTCTAAAGCAACCTTGAAATCATGTGGCCCCTGGACTACATGAGGCCCTGGCAAAAAAATTGGAGAAGGTTAAAGGGGAAAATGGCAATTTTAGCTTGTGAAATGCTATTAGAATCTATTAATCCAATTTAGCTTCAGAATAGGCAAAAGTTGACCTGTCTTGCAGTCTATAGTGGTTTATTGATGATTGTTACAAGTGTCCTGCGGGACCTGCCAAATTTCCCCACCCCTGGTCTAAAGGTTTGTCTGCATCCTCAGTTAATGGACCTGCAAACATTCATAGCAGATATGGCTGGCAGGATGGGTGTAAGAGTTCCAACTGCCCAAGCTCCTCAGCAGCTGGTATACACATGCATAGTGCTTCTCATAATGCATGTGACACATGCTCAGCAGGGCTAGTAGGTCTTCTCTGAGTTTGTCTAATCTCCTTTTGAAGCTGTCCAAACCAGTGGTCTTCACTACTTCCTCTGGCAGTGAATTCCATTATGCACTGTGTGAAGAGCTACTTGTTATTTGTCCTGGATCTCCCACCTATCAGCCTCATAGGATGACCTCAGGTTCTAGTACTATGGGAGAAGGAGGAAAAGTCTCTCCCTCTACTTTCTCTACACTTTGCATAATTTAAGCACCTCTGTCTCCCCTTCTTTCTAAGCTGAACAATCCGAGATGTTGTAACCAGTCTGTGTAAGGGAATTGCTCCAATCCTTCCTTATTTTAGTTGCCATTGTCCACACTTCTTCCAATTCAGTGATACCATTTTTCTAGTGCAGTAACCAGAACTGTGTAAGTGCAGTCACACCCAAGATATGCATAAGGCAAGCATGACATCAGCAGTTCTATTTTATTTCCATTCCTAAATATGCCTAACATGGAGTTTGCCTATTTCACAGCAACTGTGTCCTGGGTCAACATTTTTATCAAGCTGTCCACCACCTACCCAATATCCCTTTCTTAATCAGTCACCACTAACTCAGATCCCATCAGCCTGTATTTGAAGATGGGATTTTTTGCTTCCGTATGCATTGCTTTATACTTGCTTAATCTGCATTGGCCATTTCAATGACCATTCTCAGCTTGGCACGATCCCTTTGAAGCTCCTCACAATCCCTTTTGGTTTTAAGCACCTTAAATAGTTGGGCGTCATCAAAATACTTGGCCACTTCACTGCTCACTCCTCATTCCAAACCATTCACAAATACATTGAAAATCACGGTTGCCCTGTGCTTCTGTATCCCTTCCTCACAGCTGTTTCTACACATTCCTTCCGGGACAAAAGACAGCTACATTCTGAAGCAAGCTTACATGCCATTTCCTTTAGACATATGAGACCAAACTGAAGCCACAACAATACTAGTTTGGGCTTCATCCCACTCTACCCACCCACGGTCTTAATATTTGCAGTCACTAAGTGGAGAGAATCAAGAATTACTAAGTTGTGAGAAGAGATTCAGTGGTCAATGGCCTCTGCTTAACCTTCAGATAAGCTGCAATAGGGACTGGAAATTGGTCAAAATGTTGGCTTTCCAATGGACAACCTAAAGACAAGCACAGATGATAAGAAGTGTTTGGGACTTCAGCCTTCTAATTTCAGAATTCCTTCACAATCAACACACACACACACACACTCTGCTGAAAAAATGCACAAGCACAAGCAAAAACAACAACATTTCCTGATCAAGTTTTTGGAGTAAGACCTAAGAAGACTAAGCATGGTTTCTTTCATCAAGCCATGTCTTATTCCCATACAAAACTAATTTGGTCATTTCAGTTAACAACAACCTGTATGAGAAGTGATAGTTAATGCCATTCAATTAGGAGGATGAAATTTGCTTATTAATGTCCAGTAACAGGTGGCTGCACAGATGCAGGGGTACACTCCAGACAAAAAATGGCACTTCTAAATGTCGTGGATTTCAGTGGGAGTGTTTTAAACATGATTCACTTTCTCCTCTTCCAAGAGAACTACAAGTGCTTAGTAGTGCCTAAGCAGAGCATTGTAAGCAGCACATTTTCTTTACATTAATATGCAGTGCTTTAACAACACAGCTGTCCATCTATTTATACTTAACAGCAAAGGTCAAATATAGTAGCAGATATTTTATATACTAGTAAAGACACAGATACACTAAAAGCCATCTGCAACTTAGAGAGCTCCATTGTTAAAGAACTGTCTTAACAATGCCAGGTATGTAATGCACATTCTGAACAAGCCAGAAATAAAGGGTCATATTACTGTTCATGTAGAGCATTCAGCTACTGCTCCTAATAGGCAACAATTTATATCTACAAAACCTAAACTTGCATTTCATTACACAATGTAATAGGTATAATAGTATGCTAAAATTACACCTGGTTAAATTGCACCTAAAAAAAGAACCAGCAAAACTCTTTAAATGTCCTTAATTTAGAAAATTAGGAACATCATAGAATTGACTTGTATACTTGAGATAATAATCAGTTCTAAAAACAGTTGAGGGCTTGGATTTTTTCTTTGACATTTCCACTGCAGCGCAATAAAGCAATATAAAATGCTGACTGTTACACACACACACACACACACACACACACACACACACACACACGACACAGACAGACAGACAGACAGACAGACAGACAGACAGACAAAGGTATGCCTGTCCATGTGCAAACAAAGCATCACAGGACTCCAAAGAGCCCCACTATCCCTTCCTCTCATCTTCATGTACTGGAGCACATTAAGTCATATACAGGGAAATCAGTGGCTTGATTTACTTACATCAAGAGAAAGAGAAAGGACAGAATGGAAATACCTCTTCTGCTGGTATTTCCAGAAACCCATAGAGGAACAACTTTTATTGACATTCATTTAATGATACATCTTCAGGAATCTCAGGAACTTATAGAGTATACTTCCCTGAACTCAGTGGTGTTTATTTCTCGATAGGCATGCATAGGTTTGCATTGTAAATCACAGGAGTGTTTGTACAGGATGCATTGCTTGAAGGATAACAATCAACTGATTAACTAGAACAGCAAAGCAAACATCAGAACCATTCAATTACTCCATCCAATGATATAAAGATTGCTGCAAAACTACAAAGACTCTCTCGTAAGTGTCAAAGTCACATAAATGTTTTTCTAATTTTGCTTTAAAATTTATAACCTAATAAAATCCAGAAACTGCAAGACCAACAAATGAACAAAGCAGATTATAGCTCTGTCTAGTGTAGTAGAAACAAAAGGCCCAGTTAACATGCTCATTTTAAAAGAATGGCAAAGGTAAGGAACTGCAATTTCAAATAAAGGCATCACTTAGAAGCTCTAAAATGTTTTGCTGTGTTAAAATGGCAAGAAAGAGAGAAACCAACCTGTTGCTATTTAGCATAAACATACCTGCTCTAATGTCCCTGAAGAATGCATGAATGAGAACTTGACAAATGTACCCTTATCATCTAATCATCATCCTTACTTGGAAGATACAAAAACTTCAAAAATTTCTTTGCACCAGTATTTCTAATGCTACTTACTTCAAATCCATAATTTGTGAATCTTACAGAGCTGGATCCTTAGTCCAGATGATCTATGAACTAAATTTGAGAATGACAGTTGTTTCGGCTAAAGTAGGGATGGGTAATATGGGACTTTTCAGTTATTTTGGCCTAGAGCTGCCAACATCTCTTACTATTGTCTGAAGTAGGGCTGATGGGACTTAGGAACATAAGAAGATTGGATGCTGGATAGACCAAGTGGCCAATCTGCTGCTTTTGGAAAACCTACCCCCCACCCCCGCTCATGTTTCCCAGCAAAAAACATCTGGATAACAACAAGGTACCCATCTCTGAGCTAAAGGCTCAACTAATCATTCTTTAATTAATTTGCTGAGACCCATGAAAGCAAGTCAAGTAAAATTGCACTACCCAAGGAAGCATCTGGATCAGACATCAACATAACAAGAGCTTTAGGGTCCTACACAACAGCAATAGAGGCAACTGTTTACCAGAGCTGTCAGTTCACAGATGATAAATGCACATAGCCTGAAACCTACTCTTTATACGCTTGGCTGAGATGACTATGCAGTATGAGTAGAGCTGGAGAAATCATGGGTTGTCTGAGCCATGAGTGAGGGAATGAAATGCTAACTTCTACACACTCACCACTTCCATTTGGAACCGGCTTTTTATCAACAGTTTAACCCAATGATTACCCATAGTTTATT